TCATTTAGAAAATTTCTCAGCTTCCCTTGTAACCAGGAGTGACCATAAGGCAGTTTTCATCATTGATGTGTATGTGGAAGTTGCTGTGTAAGACTCCTGGAACCTTCTTTTAGGAGGGAACACACCTAGACTATGTCTTAGCTGGTACCCTATGAGGCATATGAAGATGTACTTGTACACTTGTGGCATATATGCATACTTTCTTTGTGCCCTGCCCTTCCTCAGAGTTCTTGGCCATATAGCATGATGCTTGAGAACAGATAAAGACCAAAGCCTATTAAACTCAACATATTCCTGTATGAGGGAAATATGATTAAATAGTGATAGAGAACCTCAGGCTCCACTTGAGGGTTTTTTTCTCCATAACTTCTCATAACTAACTGATCATGCTACTCCTCTGAGCAACCATCTCCAGAGGCTCCCAGTGTCCATTCTTTATTGTTGTAGAAAACTATTTCACATGAAAAAAATGGATACTGAAAATCTGCAACAAGTTTTTACTTGGCAACATGTATGATACCTTAATTTTTATTAAATTTTTAAGTAAGTCTTTCTTTATCCTCTTAAGGTCGTGTACAACATAAGGATATTTTAAAATTTCTCACAACTTTTTTATTTTTTTTAATTGTTATTGTTTGTTTTTTTTGAGTCAGGGTGTCACTATGTAGCCCAGGCTGGCCTTCAACTTGTGACTTTCCTGCCTCAGTATCCTAGGTGCTGGGATTACAGATATGCCCCACCATGCCTGGAAAGTAAACCTTAAATCTTTCTTAATCTACAAAAATTCACTTCTGTCTTTACCTTTGGGTTCTTTTTTTGGTGGCACTGGGCATAAAACCCAAGGCCTTGGGCATGCTAAGCAGGTACTCTACCCCTGAGCTACCTTCCTAGCCCTTTCTTCGTGTGTGTGTGTGTTGTGTGTGTGTGTGTACATACACACTCATGTCTTTTTTTTAATCATTTTTACATTTACTCACGTGTGTATACATTGCTTGCCCCCGCCCACCTGCCTCCCTCCTGCCTGCTTCTGGGCTAGAATCTGTTCCCCCTTCTTGTTCTCTGATTTTGCTGAGGAGAAAACATAAGAGATAATAAGAAAGACATAGGATTTTTGCTAGTTTGAGATAAATACAGCTATACAGAGGATTAGTTGTTTCCATGCATATGTGTGTTGCAACTCACATTGGTTCATCTCTACCAGACCTCTTCACTACTTCCTAGTCCACTTCCCATAGTGGCCTCTGCCCATTTAAGATTGCTATATTGCTCCTCTACAGTGAGCACATCAACCACATTCAAGTTTTAGGTTTCCTTCCCTTTCCCTATCCCTCTCATGCACAGTCTCCCCTTAAGAGTGTGACCTATGTCCAATAATATTACTGCATTTGTTGTAGGTATATAATCCACATACACTCATTGTTTTCTTTTTTTTTTTCATTTTTCTTTTATTATTCATATGTGCATACAAGGCTTGGTTCATTTCTCCCCCCTGCCCCCACCCCCTCCCACCAACACCCACCTCCGCTCCCCCCCTCAATACCCATACACTCATTGTTTTCAATGCCATCTTTGGTTGAAGAAATTTGGCCATTGGTCCTGTAGGATTTCCTACATTTGGTTGATTTGTATTCTGCTGGTGTCTTTTTACATGTTCCTCTATCTATTGGCATTTCTTGTAAATGGTAGCTTAGAATAAAGGATTGATTAGATTCAAGTTCAACAAAATATTTTACAAGAATACTTAATAGCATTATAGCATACTAATAGCAAGGCTTGGTTCATTTCCTCCCCCCTGCCGCCCACCCTCCCTTACCACCCACTCCACCCCCTCCCGCTCCCCCCCTCAATACCATACACTCATTGTTTTTCAATGCCATCTTTGGTTGAAGAATTTGGCCATTGGTCCTGTAGGATTTCCTACATTTGGTTTGATTTGTATTCTGCTGGTGTCTTTTTACATGTTCCTCTATCTATTGGCATTTCTTGTAAATGGTAGCTTAGAATAAAGGATTGATTAGATTCAAGTTCAACAAAATATTTTACAAGAATACTTAATAGCATTATAGCATACTAATAGATACATACTAAGGACACTGGGATTGATTGAGATTGGTCAGTAGATTCAGGTTGCATCACCATAAGTCATCATTACAAAATCCCCCATTAACCTTTCACCAATTGTTTTAGCAAAGGTAGGTGATTATTACCTAGAGCCATTGTTTCAATTATGGATACCACAATTCCTTTTTAATTTGTGATTTATTCTTCCTTAAGACACCTTACCTACTAGCCCACTACCTGTTTTGGAATTCTACATTTTAAACAAACAAATCAAATTCAAATTTCTTTGAATTTCTCCCTGTTTCTTAAGTGGCAGAGCTTTGACTCTTTTGGCCCATGTCATATATTGTTTTCTCTGCAGTATAATTCCATCTGCCAATCTGCAAACTCTAGGAAGTCTCAATTAAGTTCTAGGGATCTCTCATGTCCAGCACAAGGCATTGAACAAATGTACAAAAATACGTAAAATGCTTTAAGTGACTATTCAGATTAAAAATGTCCTACTCATGAAAACACAAGCAGCTGGATTCCAAAATGAAACACACACACATACATATACCACAAGTTTATTATAATACACAGAGAACAAACCCAAATGTTAATAATATCCACAGTTTTCCACAGTCTGTAAAAAGTTAACAGAAAAAAGAGTAGGAACACAATCTCATAATTTTATAAGTTATGAAACAATATAGTGCACTCAAGAATTCTAGTTAAGAATTAAGACTGCAAAATGGCAACATCCCATAGACATTTAAAAATTTGTACTTGTATTAATTTACAATTTAGATATATATAGGTTGTCAAGTATTCATAAAGCTTTATAAAATAAACTAAACTTTGTAGCTGGACTTTTTGACAGGTAAGCAAACCCAAAGGCAATAAAGTCATGAAAAGTGGGGTAAAACCCAAAAGAAACTCTACTTGACTACACTGAACCCTTTGGACAAAATATTGGCCATACAAATTCTATATCCAGTGACATTCATTTTGATCTACTGATGTTTACATGGACCATGTTATCTCCCAGCTGTGATCTGTTTTTATGTTAACATTCTACTTCCCCATTTCTATTCCTGTAACTGAGAATGTTGGTTCATCACATGTCACTGTTCATTCATAGGCATGACAAATGTTTGAAAGACTTCAGGGATGTTAGGAGAAGTTATACTATGGGGTCAGAGGAAAAAAAATCAAACTCTCCTGTTTTATCTTCCTTTTTTTGCTTCCTTTTGGTTTTTAACCTATTTGAGTGTTTAGGAATTGTATGGATATGTAACAGCACCTACCACTCTATCTAATTTTAGCACAGGCTGGAGACAAAGAGCCCAAACAGGAAAACACTTCAGGATCCCTGAGACTTTCAACAGTGAAATAAATTAGAGTGGCTATTTCTTTCAGCTCTGTTCTCCTGCTGTTTATTTTTTTACTTTTTAAAAATAAGAATTTTTCCCCACTTATCAACCCTTATATTCTCATGTTACAAGCAAGTGAAATCACTGAGATCACTTAATGGCAAATAATTGTATGAATTCGGTAAGTATGGATACAAAAGGCCATGGAGTAATGGATTAGGAGAGAGATACAAAACTACCGAGTTTACAATCAGTGAAAACTCAGCCTTTGTTGTACAATAAGTATCACTGGATGTTATATGTTCACTGGGGCCATAAGTACTATTATTTAACATATTTCACACATAAATAATCTTTCAAAATTGAGTGTAAATATAAGAAGAAAAATGCAAAAAAAGAAAGATTCACAAATGTCCAAATATTGCTGTTTCCTGCACAAAACTCTATGGATCAGTTATTCCGGTTCTCCAAAAAGAAAACATGAGAACAAGAGAACTCTAGAAAGTAGCAATTTTAAAGAAAAAAACCTATGCCAAATGGATTTCAGCCCTTCATGGTATAGTTTAGAGGTCTGAAAAAAGAAATCCTGGCTAATTTACAATTCTGGAAAATATTTTTCATGCAGTGTATCTACAACAATAAATATTTATGACCTTTAATTAATATAGTCTATCTGTCTGTCTTTCACAGTAGAACAGCCTTTGTTTATGCAACCAAAATCTCTGTGCCATACCTTGCTTCCAGTTGCCTCATAAGCTACTCCAAAAACTGTGTATAATGGGTATGTAAAACTGTTTGTGATTTAAGGATCCCTGTAGTATGCTAATTACATTAAAATTTAAGTATCTAGCCAATATATAGCCAAGATAATACTTTAAGCCATGACAATATCAGAAAGTGACATTACACTACAACGGACAACAGATTTTTCCCACTGAACTACATAGTACTTTTCCCATTGATACATCCACCTCTTTCCAGAGACAAAGAAAATTAATTGTAAAATACTAATAGCAAGGTGTTCAGTTAATCTATCAAACAAATCACCTTGTTTCCAAAATAATATTAACTTTACCTTAGGTCAAGGGCACTAGTGTACTTACTGAGAGTACTGTTGCTTTGAAGCAGTGCGTACAACAAAAGTGTTGTAAGGAAATCTTATCAGCAAAATTGATGGCAGCTACCCAAAAGATCCATTAAAACTTATCACTAATGATTTTAAATCAGAACTTATCAAAAATTCATTTAATGTTCACCTATGTTGGCTCTTTAGAATGGGAATTGGACTCTAGAGTAAATATAGTGTCTTCTGAATACAGTCAACAAGCAATAGGGCCAGAGCCCACAGGTAGAGGTTTCCAGACTTGACAGAAGGAATCTATTGTACTCCAGGGATCTCTGTCCATACTCAAAATGTCTAAAATTTTTCATCTATACTGGACTTCCTTGATGAGTACTATGTTGCTTCACATCCTCCTGTCACTGCAGCAAATGTATTAAATGGAATCTTTTGATTAGGTTTAAAAGCAGCTAAAAACCTTCTGGATGCACTAGGTTCTTCTAATCAAAAGACTTAGCTGGGCACTTTGGGTCTCAAAGATCAGAAACCCCAATAACTTATCATAAAAATACAAGCTCTTGGTTTTGAAAAAATATACAAAATATACTGCATAGGTAAATATCTCTAGATTGTCAAGGAAGACAAGGTATCGATCTCAATCATAGATTCATGTTGTAATTATATTTTAGTGATGTTTGCTTTTACTGTTTCCATTTTTTATAGTCTTTGGCAGCCTCTGACCCTTGGTGTAAGCACGATACCAAAAATGGAGAAATAGCAGCAAAAAGATGCACCCATAACTCATGATAATGTACAGAAAGACTGGATACTGGTACTTGCAATCCTCCATGAAGAAGATCTGGCCTATGTGGATAGTGACAATGACAAACTGGATCTGGAAAATGAAAGAGAAAAAAAACTTTATTTACATATGAAGAATTAACAATTCCTTGCTCATTTATGTAAGTAATCTTATCTAGGCTACTTCTGGGCACAGAAGTTCATCTTTAAATCTAGCCTCCCTGAGAGTAAGAATGGGTGGTATGGTGTCAAAATCCAGATGGGAGTTTAGAACTACTATTCAGTCCTGACAAACTACAATTCCAGGGTGTCCTGTTTCAGTTTTCCCTGATGTATGCAGTGTAGCAACCCTTTTACTATGGAGACAACCAACAGGGCAGGTTTTCTTCGGAAGTCTCCCACTTGAATCCTTGGCTCTGATGAAATGCACAAGGGATCACTACCTTGTAGCCTAATTTTCCAGGATGGTTTCTATTCCAAACATTCTGTTCTCTGTTTAGACTAAGTATTTCAATTTATAAAAACAAAAACATTCAAATTAGGGCCCTTCTAATTTTATAGGAGCCAAAGCATCCCTTAGTCCTCATATCTGCCATGTGTCCTTTACTGTCATGAGTAAAAATAGTCCTAGAAAAGAGCTAAACATGGTGGTTCATACCTGTAATCCCAGATATCCAGGAGACTGAGGCAAGAAAATCATTTAAGCTCATGAGCTCAAAAACTAGTCTGAGAAACATAGGAAGACCGTGTCTCAAAAGAAAAGCAAAGTCCTAGCTTCCAACCAGGCAGAAATTCAGCAAATAAGGAACAGGCACTGAGTTATCCAAGTGTGAATCAAGGCTCTGTGGGCTGGAAAATTCTACACAGTCTTAACAGGGACATTTTTCTATGTTGACACTCAGGTTTTTTAAAAGATTTCCCCCATTAAAAAGCAGTATGCTCTAGGGAAATTTTAGAAAAGTAAAACTCTATAAAGAAATAAATAATAATTACCCATGATCCATCTGTTATAAGTGGTTAAGATTTTCAGATAGTTTCTTCCAGTAACATTTTATTGTTACCATTATCGACTTTCCTTGTCGAAATTCTTAACAAATTTGTGTGTGTGTGTGTGTGTGTGTGTGTGTGAGTGTGTGCTGGGGACTGAACTTTACATCTTGTGCTTGCTAGGCGAGTGCTCAATTACTGAGCAAATTTCCCAATTCTTTATAAACTTTCATGACATTCCTGGGCAGTAGCTACAGTTATTCTGTTAATTTTGCAGAAGAAACAAAACTTTAGAAAGGCTAAGCAGCATCCTCCACATCCTATGCAAACGTGTGTTGGTGTGTGATTGGTGTATTTGTAATAGTAATGAACCAAGGTCTATCCAGTCCTACATTTGAATTTTTCCACTTTATTTAAAAAATTTAACAACTTATGAATATATTAAGTGAAAAAGACTAATACAAGATTGCGTATGCAGTATAATACAAATCATGTAAAAGGTATGCAGAGATTCTTAAGGGGAAAAAGCTGAATAAGAACAAAATAAATAATATCAGCACTATTATCCCTGGGCAGGAGAATTATGTGTATTTGCTTATTTATTTATATGGTGCTAGGGATCAAACCCAGGGCCTTTCTCAAGGTAAGCAACTGCTCTACCATTCAACTACACCCCAGCCCAGTTTATTTTTCTTTCTTTTTGCCTAATTAGGAATTCTACTTTCTCTGCATTGAGCACATGCTACTTCACAATGTGAAGGAAATGAATGTTTTAAAAGAAAGCAATGATGAATAATTTTCATGATGCCACAGCATCCCTAAGTATGAATTAAAATAATTTATCTCACAATTTCCTTATGGTTGGTCATTTAGATTATTGCCAATTTTAGACACAACAAAATATTCTGCAAAGACATACTCTAATCTTGACTAAGATAAAATACCAGTCTCTCACCTGGGAACACATTATATGAATGTACCAAATTTCACTTAGGAATTAACCTTCAACAGGCTAACTACATCTAAATTCCTACTTTCTCTTTGATATCACTGACATGACACCCAATTTATTATAGACTGCAAGCCTGGAAATGTGAGGATGGCAGAATTCTTCCTTTAAAAGCAGACAACAAAATTTAGAGCAATCATCATCTCATTCTTACAACTATTCTTTAAAAATTATATGTCATATATTATTATGATTAATTCTTAGAATTATTAGGAGGTATTATTTGGTCTAAACCAAGTGCCTCTGTTGTTTCAAGCATGGTTTACTTGAGGGCAATATTCAGCATCCAAGTTTATGTAATATGTATATGTTTGTCTACTACTCTAAAGATTCATTCCTCACAATACTTTTTATGTATTGGAGGAAAGATAAAATTATCTTATTATTATTAGAGCTAAATAGGTAGGCACACAAGAAGGCTCATTACTCAAAGTTACATTCCCTCAAGATAATTTAGAGCAGGAACATGAACTCTCTAACTTCTAATTTAGTATTATGCCTATTGAGGGTCACATAACTTTGAGATTATTTTGATCATAAGCATATTTTTATAAATGTATACAATAGCCTTCAGATCATATAAAGATATAGATGCTGGCTTACTTGTTTGAGCCTCTTAGTTACTAGTTGTGTTTTTGTTTTAAAAAACAAATTTCCTGATAAAGTTCAAATAACATAGAAAGAACAGTGATGGCATACCAGACAACACCTCTATTGCTTTACAAACTCTGTTCTTTATTTAGCTAGTGTCCTAATTCACAATGAAAACAAGTAACTTCAGTTTAGTTTCATATCTGGTATTAAAGAAAGTTAATCACTCACAAGCTGTAAAGATGTCAAGTACTTTTTCCACCACAAATACTTCTGATAGGCTGGTCCCATTGCACTTAGTCCATAGTAGGAATACATGACTACATGCACAGCTGTGTTTATGAAGGCATGGAATGTCCCCAAACCACCTGGAAAAAAAAGTTATTGTAATACGGAGGCACCGTTCTTTAAAATCAGACATAGTTTTACCTGAACTGAGATTTTAGTATAATCATTTCTTGAATTTTAATAGGAAGAAAGAAAAATATACATGAAATATCAATTCTGTTCAATAGCTATCAAACTAGATGGAGCTGGATAACATATTTAGTACAAAATAAGACTGAAATCTTAGAAAACCAACTAGCATGTTTTTATTTGTTGTATCTCAACCTTAAGATGGCTCTATGATTTGCATTTACTTTAGCAAACTAAGTTTTACCTCTTAAATATTACTGCTTAATAATAATCAAAATTTATTTCAGTGAAGGTTAATTTATAAAGTAGATAAATAACATTAATTGAAATTAAGTATACAAATTAAGATTTTTCACATGTAACCACCACCAAGTTCAAATATAGAATATTCACACCACCACACAAGATGCCCATGTGCTGCTTCCAAAAATATACCCCTTCCAAGGTAAACTTTATTCAATTTCTATCATCAACTATTAGTTTTATCTGTTTTTATAGTTCATAGACTGGAATTATACAGTATGCACTCTTTTGTGTCTATCTTCTTTCAGTGAACAGTGTTTTAAGATGCATGCATGTTGGTGCATATTCCAATATTTTTTACTGCTGTGTGGTATTATAACATTTGAATGCATCAATATTTATCCATTTTCCTATTAAAAGACAATTTTAGCTATTATGAATAAAGCTGCCAAGAATATTTTTCTTTGTGTCATTGTGTGGAATCAAATTCACTTTCTCCATTCTCAATAATTTGCATTAACTATTTTTAGTGCCACAAAAATTCTGGCAGTAAAACCACTGGCCTTCATTAGTAAGTTACACTAAATTTGCTTTAGTCAATTATTGTTTTCCAAAATAAATGCCTATTAACTGTCAACCCATCCATGTTTACTGCTTCCATTTGATTATGCCATCCTTTCATGGTTTTCCTCTTTTAATTTCACCAACTTCAGTTTACAGAAGTGAAGATCACTTGGGAGTGTAAGAAAAGGTATCACTTTTCTCTAGTTTCATCAGTAATCAGAGGTAGCAGGGTGTTTATCCAATCAGGGTTGGCGGTGGGAACACTCTTTCCTGAGGTCTCTTTCCTAAGAGGTGCAATCTAGAGGAATTTGAATTCTTTTTGAACAGTCTGACTCTGCTTAGGAATGTTGACCTTGAATTTAAGTTTTTCTCCAAAATATTCTATTTTCTAATCCCAGAATTAAAAGAAAAGTTGGGATTAATTACAGTAGAAGTGCTAAGTTACAGGAAGTGCTAAACTCATAAGTACCATGAATTATATATATATATAAATTCAAATTTAGCACTTCTAAATAATCTTGGGAAAATGTCATAAAACTATCATATAGTAGAAACTAATGATTAATAATATTCATAACTACAGCAATTCTAGATATTTCTAAGTACTACCACTGCTAAAGTACTCCCTTCAAAATAACCTGTTTCAGGTTTTATTTTTTACAGCACTGGGGTTTGAACTCACGGCCTCATGCCTGCTAGGCAGCCACTCTTACTGCTTGAGCTACTCCACCAGTCCAAAATCACCTGTTTAAAATAATTACTTTTAAGTAGTTAAATATTCCTCCAAAGCCTCATTTATGCTATGCTGTGCTTCCTAAGCTTTCTACTCCTGAGTACAGCAAATCAAACTTCAGCTAATCCCTAGTTGTCACAAATTTTAGAAGGAATCAAATTAATGAAACTTATTAACAATCTCTCAGCTTTTATCATTCACATTTGGATTAATTATCTTTCCTCAAAGAAACTTGATTACATAAACTGTAGTCATGTAAAAACACCTTTTCCAGGGTAACTTAAAAATAATCGTCTACAAGTCAAACTGCTTCACAGGGAAACAAGCAGCATACCTTCAAGCCCACTTCTGTCTTGTGAAAATACATACACAAGAAATTTACTTCAGCCTTTATAAGGGACTATGTCAGAGTCTTGCCCATTATAACATAGCTCCCATTATTTGGTAGAGAAGTGTCCATTTTCCATTTTACTTTCATCATTCTAAATGTCCTAAAATAAGGACCTTGTGACAGATTTAACAAAACACCAATGTAACTTAGAATGTTTAGCAAGGATACTGATCAAAATGTGCTGTCAAAATTAACTTGCTTATTTTCTCTAGCTATGATTGTTTTCTGATAAGTTATTTTAATACATTTGTTCATGGAACAATCACATTTTAATTACTAATGCTTTTTTACTCTTTGGAAGTCTTTTCAAATGAAGTTATTTTCTAAGCTTGCTTTCTTTACAAGAATGGGTCTGAAAAGCAAACATCCCAGAATGAATTACAATTACTACCACACATTTTACTTCTCTGACTTGGAAAAAAAAAATAAGGGAATCACTTGGGTAATTACCACAATTCTCCAAATCTCTCAAAGGAGTATATGAATAATTAATTTAAAAAAAACCTGCCATGGAAATATTTTCATCATATTGAAAAGAAGAGCTGGATTGCTTTTATTCCAAAGAAAGATACAAGAGGCAGACAGGAAATTAAATACCAGATAAAGATCAGTTGTGCTCAAGGTTTTGCAAAGAGCAGATTAAACAGACCGTGTCATTCTAGGAATGGAAGCTGGTGCCAAACCACACTTGTGTTACTGTTTTCGCCACTGAATAGGTACCAGGGAAGCTACAGGTGACCTCTAGGCCTCCACACATAATACTAAATAGGAACACCAACTTGTAGAACACACAAGAGACAAGAAAACATTATTTTCAAGAGAAAAGAAAATGAGGACTGAGAGGTAGATAAGGAATCCATTATAAAGTAGTTGATATCCATAAACATATAACACTTAAAAATTATGATAGATCATATGTTTACATTTTCATCATTGAAAACGTTGCTTGTTTTTGAAAAATGGAAGCTAGACTATCAATGAACTCAAATACAGAAGTGAGAACAACACTCAACTTCATTATTTAAATAAAATTTATGTTTCTCATTATAGAACTCTCTGATATTCAATACAGGAAAAGTGGAAAATATAGAGAAAGGAAGAAGAAAGGGAGGAAAACCACCTTTTGTTTTGATATCTCCAAATCACCTATGTATATTTTGGAGCACTGCCTTCCAATCTTTTTTTTTCTGTTTATTATTATTATTATTTATTTATTTTTTGTGGTACTGGGGTTTGAACTCAGGACCTACACCTTGAGCCACTCCACCAGCCCTTTTTTGTGTTAGATATTTTCAAGATAAGGTCTCATGGAATTAATTGCCCGGGGCTGGCTTCGAACCACGATCCTCCTGATTGCAGTCTGCCTCCTGAGTAGCTAGGATTATAGGCGTGAGCCACCGCGCCCAGCTTCTGTTGTCTATTAATCAGAGTTGTAATATAGTACAGTCATACCTGGGTACCCATACAAGACTGCTTCCAGAACCCCCTGAGAATACCAAAAATCTGTGGATGTCAACGTCCCTTACATAAAATGGTATAGTATTTCTATATAACCTGTGTACATCCTCCTATGTTGCTTATAGTACCAAAGAATGTAAACATTATGCAAACATTATATTGTTTACGGAATAATGGACAAGAAAATTTACATGCTCCGTGGAGCTGTAAGTTTTTTCAGTATTTTTGATCCAAAACTGGTTGAAATCCATGGATGTGGAACCCACAGATTTGGAGGGATGACTGTGTTCTGGTCTTACAGAAGAAAGTAAAATAAATGCTAAAGTTGTGATAATACCTTTCCTAGCATTCTTTTAAAGTAAAGTAGTCATCTTTCTCTAATAATCAGGAGTCAATCTGCTTAAAAGAGAAGATAAACTGCTTCTCAACATCTTTTTTTAATTGTTTTATTATTCATATGTGCATACAAGGCTTGGGTCATTTCTCCCCCCTGCTCCCACCCCCTCCCTTACCACCCACTCCGCCCCCTCCCTCTCCCCCCCACCCCCTCAATACCCAGCAGAAACTATTTTGCCCTCAACATCATTTTTGTTTCATGCTTTTACACACACAAGAAATCAGAACCAATCCATTCGTCAATGCTTAAGTATTTCCCAATTTTTTTCATTAACACAAATAAGGTATCAGTGTATATCAGGGAGAACTGAGAGACACAATATGTACAAAAGGGAAAACAAAAACAAAAATTAAAGTAAAAATATTGAAGATTAAATATTATAATTACTTTTGATTTTTTAAATGTACACATTCTTGTTAGAATGAGAGTTTAACACACATCATAAGAAAAAGCAGCTACATTTACTTGAAAAAATTCCTCAACAGATAAATGCCAATTTGGGGTAAGATGACTTATATACTGAGAAACCCAGTACCCGAAGGCTCTAGTAGAGACAGCTCTTTAGCCATGTTTCTCAGCCCTTGCAGCTCCTCTAGGTTCTGGTATCTCCTTCTTGCCACTGGCTTATCCATGTCCGCTCATGCTCTGAGCCATATGGATTCTCCACCCCCACATCCCTCCTTGCTCAGGACCTAAATCTCAAAAATTTGTGGTTCCTGTTTTCTTTCAGTCTAGCATAGCCAGAGTGCCTAATCAAGGTGAGCTATTCACAGAAATGTTAAAGCATTGTTGAGTATAAGCTATAGGCATACTCAAGACTTCTTAAGTTTAAGAAACTAGAATAAATAAATCCTCCAACCAAAGTTTGCTAATGTAAGAATATGAGGTGAGAGATACTGCTTATTTAAAACTTTCTGAGGTGGGAAGCAGAGGTGAGAGATGGTGGTCTGAGGCTGGGTGACCCTAGGCAAAAATGGGGAACCCTATCAAACCCCAGTACCACAAAAAAAAATTTTATGATAGAATAAAATTGTTGCTTATTTTCTCCAATTCTAAGTGTTGAAAAGCATAAAACCAAAACAAAACAAATAAAAGAGATTGTCAAGCTTTTGAGTTAAACATTCTTTGACTTAAAAAACATTAGCAAAACATCCTTTAATATGGTAAAATACTTTGGAAGTTGGGGCAACTGCAATTTGGCACATAGTTAATAAGTTGATGGGGGGGGGTATGTACCATAGTTTGGATATGATTTGTTCACCAAAGGTTCATTTGTAGGAAGCTTGGTCCCCGATATGACAGTATTGAAAGATGGTGGGACCTTTAAGATGTAGAGTCTAATGGGAAGTGACTGAGTCATGGCTACTCTTGTGAAGGGATTAATGCTGATCTCTCAGAGTGGAGTTAGATCTTGTGGGAAGTAGATTAGTTCCCTCCAAAGCAGGTTGTTATAAAAGAATGAGCAAGGACCTTCCCTAATCTCTTACTTCCTCTCTTGCCATGTCACTTCTGCAGGTACAAGTGTTCCCATGTGTTCCTTCCATAATATGACATCACCAGAAGGCCTTCACCAGAGGCCAAAATGATGAGCCTGCCTGATTTTGGACTTTCTGCCTCCAAACTATGAGCTAAACAAATCTTTTTTCTTTATAAATCAACCAGGCTAAGGTATTTTGTTGTAACAACACAAAATGGACTAGCACAGGATAGACATCAGTTACTAGGCAAACAAGTCATAGAACTTGAAATACAACATTCTAACTTTATTGGAACATATAAGGAACAGTTATACAACTAGAATCCTAGGAAGTCAAGGTTGTTATTGTTTAAAATGTGTGCTTATTATTTAAAAATCCAAACAAAAGTGAATATGTATATAACACATAAAATTCATGCATACCTCAAGTTAGGATGGGAGAAGTCTAAGAGTCCTATGTTTCAGGTAATAATTTGAAAATCAGAAGTTAAACTAAAGTGACTCTTTGATTATTTGAGTTTCTTATAAATTATATATGAGGCTAAAATTTGTGTTTGTAGCATACAGAAATGTTATCAATTATATCACATGATCCCAGCTCTCCCTTTTCTACCTGCAGCAAATTTGACTCCAAACCACCAGGTCCATGGCATGATGGTATGATGGAAGACATGAAGGAAAGTCACTTGGCTATTTTTCTTACGCAGAACAAAAAAGATCTGAAATAATTTAAAGAAAATCAAGTTCATAAAAATCATGCAATAATTTGTTGACGGTCACAAAAACATTGGCAAAGAGCAAACTATTTTTCATCATAATTTGCTTTGAAAAGGTTGTTTTACAGAATGTTTATAGACGTAGCTGGTTCTCCCAGGGGCAGGTGCAAAGCTAACTAGTATGAAGGAACTTAGGAATGATACCGAATCATGGGAGAACCAATAGGAAAATGAAAAGACATTTCATGTGAATTTAAAAATAAGACATATAAAGTGAAGAATTTGGCCAAAAGTTTTGAGAAAAGAAACTATTGGTTTTTTAAAAAAAGACTCATTCATTGGATTTTGAAGTACATGGTAACCAGAAGTCCTTAACTTTTAGGACTGAAAATTATTTCATTCAATATTGTTCTCTAACACACCCTACCAATTTAGATAAGGGATTAGGAAAACTGAAAGAAGAATTGCAAAAAAAATCAAGCTAGCAATTTGTTACCAAAGAAAGATGAAGGGGAAAAACTTGAAAAGTTAATTTGAAAAATATGATAGAAAAAGAAAGCAAAGCTGCATAAGAAAAACAAGAAGAGCAACAAAGATACCATTCAGATTACACATACCCAGTGGTTTTAGAAACTCTGCAAGCAAAAGACTAGAATTTCAGGGTGTGGGAGGGAGAATGTTCAAAAATATTCCACAGCAAAATTAGGAATATGAGTGCTAAGTTAGATTTTTAAATTCAGAATAAACAGAACATAGAGATGAACCAATATGGGTTGTAATACACATATGCATGGTAACAACACCAGGAATCTCTCTGTATAACTATCTTTATCTCAAACTAGCAAAAATTGCTGTTATTCTTATTATCTCTTATGTTTCCTCTTCAACAAAATTGGAGAACAAGAGGGTGGAACAGGTTCTGCCTGGTAGTTGGCTGTGGGCAGGGGGAGAAGAAGGGGTGATGTGAACCAAATAATGTATACACAAGTAAGTAAATATAAAAATGATAAAATGAAATGAAAAAAACAAAAAAGAATAAACAGAACAACACAACAAAAAGTACCACATAAACAGAAGCATTTCAGCAATGGAGTTTAGGGAAGGTCACAGAAGCAGCAGCAGTTTCTTTATGGGAGGTGCAACTGACACCATGCAAAGCAGAGTCAATAAAGTCAAAACATATTTGCTTATGCACATGGAAGGATGCAGCCTGGTGCAACAGAAAAACCATAGACTAACAATCTGGGTCCCCGCCCCATTAGTAGCACCATTTCTCTGGGTAAGTCACTTAATTTCTTATCTTCAATTTTTTTTTTCCTGAGAGTTCTGCACTAGGTCAATGGTTTCCAATCAACAATGCATATTACAATATCCAAGAATATTTACAAAAACAGCCATGCCTAGTGTCTACTCCAGACCATTTGGCATGAAATCTCAAGAAGGAGGGCCAACATTTGTTTGTTTGTTTCCTAGTGCAATTAACTATACTGCACCATTAGGGTTGAGAACCTCTAGACTATGGCAGGAAGTTTCTCAAAGTGTAGTCTCTGAATGAACAGCGTTAGCATCATCTGAGATCTTGTTAGAAAAGCAAATTCTTGCCAAGCACTAGTGGCTCATGTCTGTAATCCTAGTGACTCAGGAGGCAGAGATCAGGAGGATCACGATTCAGAGTCAGCCCAGACAAGTAGTTCTGAGAGACCCTATCTCAAAAAAAAACCTTCACAAAAAAAGGCTGGAGTTGTGGCTCAAGATCTTCACCTTGAGTTCAAGCCCCAGTACTGCCAAAAAAAAAAAGCAAATTCTTTAGTCACACCCAAGCCCTATTAAATTAGAAGCAGTGGGGGTGGGTTTGTGGTTTCAAAAGCCCTCCAGATATTTTAATGTTTTCTAAAGTTTGAGCACCAAACTTCTCAAACCAAAGTCTATTCTAACATTATATGATTAGTCAATGGACAAGGTGAAGCTTGTTGAGATTTCCTAAAAGAAATGTGTGAGGTGTCTATTCCAAAGAGACACTTGTCAGTTTCAGAAGCAGACTTCTTCCAAGTAACTAAGATCTACTTACCACAGAGATATATTAAATACTCAGCTTTCCTATGCTACTCTGGAAACAAAGACTCATGGCTTTCTCCTCTCATCACATATAATCCCTGCTACTTGCTTTTCTTAGGACTTAGTCATCCAAGTCCACTGAGATCTAAAGCAGGAAGAGCTAGGGCCCACCAAGCACAGACTTCAGAAAGTCAGGTGGAGACAGTTTTGGTGTCCCTCAAATTATGGATATTGCAGGGATAAGTCACAACCTACTGTAAGTTTATGAATTTTGAAGCATTTATCTTCCTAAAGGAATATGGCTGACACAGTGCTTTGGTATAAAGAACCAAAGGTAAGATGCTCTGTGCTTCCCAAATTTGCTCCATAAAACAATTGTCATCATCCACATAGAGATGAACAGTTTTGTAGTGTATGTGGCAGTTACCTACTTATCTTAACCAGGTGGAATCTATCTGTCTATATAAAAAAAAAACTTTTGGGGTTTGTGAATTGCTAGGAAGTCAGCTTACCCTATCTAGTCTGAAAAAGTATAGATAATAAAAGGTACAAGAGATAACAGTAGATCTGCCTGAGGAGGAGAGAGAAAAAAAACTTATCAGACAGTCAAACTATAGCAATTTATTACTTTCGTGGAAACATCAAACATTTGCTAAATGTGGTGAGTACATACTCACAGTGTCTAACAGCTCAATAAATTTGGAGAAGTAATACAGCCAGCAGGTGTGTACCATCTGCAGAAACACATATAGGTATGAATTTATCTTATTCTCTGTTTTACATGGAAGGAAAGTTTACTTTCAATCTTTTAGTAAAAAAAATCTTAGTCATTTTTTAGTGTACTGTCCAGTGGGATTAATTACATTCACGCTGTTGTACAGCCATCACCATCATCTATGCATAGAACTCATTCAGCCTAAGAAACTGAAACTTTGCACCTATTCAAAAATAACTTCCCATTTTCCAATTCTCTCCAGTTCCAGACACCATTCTACCTTCTGTCTCTATTAATTTGACTCATATAAACTGAACCATGTAGTATTTGTCCTTTTGTGACTAGATTTATCAGTTAGCATAATCTCTTCGAGATTCACCAATGTTGTGGCATGAGTAAGAATTTCCTTCTTCATAAAGGTTAAATAATATTCCTCTCTCTCCATATAAATGATATATAATGTGTGTATGTATATAATATATTACAGGGCACATATCATATGAATGGCAATATTTTGTTTATCTATTCACTATCCAAAGACCCTTAGGTTGAGTCCATCTTTTGGCTATTTTGAATAATGCTGCTATAGTTATAAGTACACAAATATCTCATAAGAATCTCTGCCCTCAATTTCTTTAGGTATATACCCAAACGTAGAATTTCTAGAAATTATGGTAACTCTATTTTTCATTTTTTTCAGGAACCATATATGAGTTTATTTTTGAAACACAAGAAATTAAAAGAAAAAAGCACTAATTTTCATTTTACAAAAATTATACTTCTGACTTTCTGTGATTTTTCTTATAATTTTTAGCTTTCTCCCCACCATACATAATCTGATAATTGAGTCATTCATTCAATTATTATAAACAGTTCACATCCAATTATTATAAACAAGAGTACAGAAAGTTTTCACATTGATTTTTGAGCTACAAAAGTTTTTCCAAAAAGAAACTTACCCTCATAGCTGTGGGTGACCATGAATAGTCAACAATGTCACATTGAAAAGAATAACCTGTACCCCAGCCAGACATCACAAACTGCAAGAAAAGACAAGCACATGAAAGAAAGAAGCATTTGTTCAACAGTTACCAAAAAGGTAGTTTTGATGGCATCTTTATTACACTTTGGGCTGAGTAAGCCATCAGTGCTGTGGAAAAGGCTGTGAAAACAATGACAAACTACAAACACACTTGACAGAAAAACTTGAAATCATGAGTTTTCAAAACCACAAACTCATATATTATTTATATAAACCATGTTCTGACTAAATTACCCATCTGTTGGGAAGGTTATTCTAGTATACTAAAGAACAAAACCCTGTGAGTGTTTTTGCTTAAACAGCAAATATTGGTGGATAATTCATCTTATGTATACCTTATGTATGTGAGTGTATTTGTGTACTTTGAAAGGGAACACCTGGCTCTGAATCAATTGTTTCTGGAGGGGGCTGTGGGCAGCTGGGCTTTTCTTGTCTTTGGCTAGCTAGTGTGCACTATGAAGTGGTAGAGCATGGCTTTATTACTCTTTCCTGGTTTAAATCAGGATTGATCATGATCAAGATATTAGTTGTCCTTTGAATTCACAAAACTTCTAAACAACAGGAGTGCAATCCAGCAGGCTTTAATTCCAACACACCCACAAAGTGACCTTCCACTGGTGGTAAGAAGAAAAAGCCTATTGTTGATAAGTCTGAGTTATAATTCAAAGATTATATTGACATTTTTCAGTTTGATGGTGGGAAGATCTTCTTTCAAAAATAGTAACTGAAAATGAAAATCCAAGAGCTTTGATTTTAAATGAATGCATATGTTAAGTGGTTGGCTTAATTTAGAGTACTGACAATATGATTCTCTAATGGTTTCTTTCTTTTTGTTTTTTAAGATAGGGTCTTGCTACATAGTTCAGACTGGCCTTGAACTTACAGTCTTCGTGCCTTGCCTCCCAAGTGCTGAAATTATAGATGTGTTCCACCAGGCTTGGCTTCTAACTTCTTATTCTTACAACTTTCCACATCTTCCTTGGAATGCCCTTTCTCAGTATAATGGTTATGCATTTTCTGCTATTGTAGTACGTTTTAAATTTCTATTTTTCCTACTATTAAAGCTAAAAGAGCAACTTTATAATAAATTTATTTCTAAAAACAAACACTTTATCAGATGATTTTCTGTTTGTTTGCGTATTTTTGAGACAAGGACTCAAGGTATAGCTCAGGCTAGCCTTGAACTTGAGATTCTCCTGCTTTTGAGTGTTAGGATTATAGGCAAACAATACCACACCAGTAGGAAGATATTTTAATGGTGCAAAAAAACAAACAAGCAACTTTAACTATGGTATTTAAAAACATACCATCCTTTCATAATATTAGTTCCTAGTTTGCTCTCTAAGATCATGAAATCAGTTAACTTAGTAAGTTGTAAAATCTTAAAAATTAAGACCCAGAAAAGTACAAGATATGCATTTCATGGATGAGAAAAATATCTTACAGAAACAAGTCAACAGATCTTCTCAAAGGAATGAGGAAATGTGACAGAAACAGCTAGTTCTGTTTTACAAAATTCTACCATCAGTGAGTATTGTCATATCTCTTGTGCTTATTTCAATTGGTATAAGTAATACTCTAAACCCAGGAGCTAGTTACTTAAGCTGAATGACTAGCTCTCCACTTCACCCAAACATAAACAAGTGCTATGCTGGACAGGAGAAGTTGTGTGACATGGCCTTCTGTGGGGTCTTACCTGGTCCCTCTTTATTAGTGTCCTACTGGTACTATGTACCTAATACATTCAATCATGAGAAGGCATCTGAGTTCCTCCATCTGATGCACTGCTCTTTCACCTTGTGTATATTTGGCCAAATATCCCTAGAGGGGGTGTTTATTCTGCACACCCAGTGAAAATATGTTCCACACAATAAACTATGTGTTTAATGTGCCAACAGACACACCAACAGACAGTGTGCTGCTTGGTTGTTAACAACAAAGAAGATAAAGGAGAATGATGGAGGGGGGTAAATTCAACTATGATATATTGTAAGGACTTTGGTAAATGTTATAATGTACCCCTAGTACAATAAAAAAAGGGTAGAAAAAATTTTTGTTTAAATGGAGAGTGAAATTTAATGTTTTCCTGATATTAAGCTTAAGAATATTCTCACAGGGTGAAAATTTTGGCATATATGTCTTTATCCCAGTCTAGCAAAAAGAAAAAATAATTTATATTTGGCAAGTGATAAACTCTGAAAATGGCATATAAGTAACTCAAGTATTAATGGTAAATTCAGATATTTCAAGCTTTTTTGCATTGTAATTGATAAAGCAGGAACTAAAACTGGCTATAATTGGATTCTTTCCAAGCCTAAGAAATATATTTGGAGGACATCACAACGCTATAATTGGATTCTTTCCAAGCCTAAGAAATATATTTGGAGGACATCACAATCAATGACATCCTATGACACAGAACCTACGAATACTAGGGCATTCTGGAACCTAAGAGACAATTTGATTCAATCTTGGCTTTATAAAAGGGGAGAACTGAGGCTCGAGAGGCTAAGCAACTTGTTCAAAATCAGGCAGCTAAGTGTAGGAGAACCAGGACCAACTTGTCCCTGGTTTCCTGGCTCCTAAGTGTGTTCAAACACAATTATAATGTGCTGTGTTCTGTCTCTGAGAACATGTTAAGAGCCTGCATTTTCTCTGCTTCCCATCTCTAGTACTTTTCCCCATTCAGTTATTCACATGCTAGAAGGGGCAGGAGAGTGGCCTGTGAGTTAATTTAAAATAAAATACGTAGCTTTGGAAAGCTGTACCACAAAGCCAGGCTTCAGGGAGGCTTGTGAGAAATAAGGCCAGAGTAGATTTTGTTGATCTGATCGGGTGGATTTGTAGCAGAAATCAGGTTGGTATCAAAGATGCCAGTGGGGCCATTATGGCTCCTCATGGGCCCCGGTTATGACTAAGTACAAGCTATATTACAGAGAAAGCCAGTTAGAGTTGGAAAATAATCCTAGAGAAGCAGATAGATGAGAGTGGATTAGACATGCCAATACCAGAAGGGCAGAGAGAATCCATGAATATGCTTTTAGGTCCTAGAAGATCCCTACTTTTTTTAATGGATAATTTAGGGACAAGCACGCTCATCTATTGCTTTTATGAGTCTATGTTCTTTTTTGCTTCAAAGTCCAACTAAACCAAACCAAATAATACATAGCTGCACAGCTAACAGAACTGAAAGTTCTCATGGTGATGGCAACTACTTATTTCAGAGACAGGGTGAACTCTGATGCCAGATGGACCTGCATCCAACTATTAGTCCTCCAATTCAGAGCTATGTTACTTTGAGTAAGTTACTTGATTTCTTTGAGTATGAGTTTCCTCAAACTAACATTTATGGATTTAGTCATCTATTAAGGCTATCTATGTTCAAATCCTTGAACTAAATGTAAATTTTTCTCACTACCTGTGATGGAGACTATCCTGAGACCCTCAAGTGTTTATTATTTGGTCTAGAAATAACATTTCTTTTGTTATATACCTGTTGTAGTGAGCTCAGTTTTCAAAATTCATTGACCTTCACAGGGTTACTCTATAGTAATAATGAAAAACATAATAACACATAAATAGAAAGACTCAGGCAAAACTCTCCCATTAGAAATACTGAAGACACTTGCCTCATAACACATATACACAGAAAAGAGTACTATGAAAAAATTGTACGTTATCATCGCTTTCTTGAGTTCAAATGGCTTTCGATTCTCCATGAGTTTTGGTCCCAGAGATGTGACAAAGTAGACATAGAGTCCCAGGATGATGGTTTGTGGCAGAGGGGAGGACATAAGGAGCCAATCTTCGACTCTTGGATCTAAGAGAAAAATAATGTGTAAGTGACACCCACTTAGTCAAGAGAAAAGTGACAGCAACCAACATTTTTTTAGGCAAGCACCTACATCCTAATGTTACAGTGGACCCTTTGGGCAAAGATCACTAGTATCTTTAGGAAGGGTGACAGGAAACCACCAGGGATAGTGAAACATACCTGAGTAGAAACAATGAGGCTGTCACCACCTTTGAGTCTCAAAGGGCAAGAGGTAGTAGTTAGCAGAACACAGAAGGAAAGAGTCATGTGGAGAAGGTATTATGTAATGCCACTGGAGAGGTATTATGTAATGGACTGAACGTTTGTGTCCTCCTAAAATCCGTATGTTGAAATCCTAACTTCCAATGTGAGCTTTTGGCCTTTTAAGAGAATAGAGACTGCATGAAAGGATTAGTGCCTTTATAAAAAGGAAGCTCTCTTGTCTTCCCTCTGCCTTGTAAAGACACAATGCAAGGAAACATCAACTTGGAAGAAAGCCTTCATCAGAACCATGCTGGCACCCTGACCTCAGACTCCCACAACTGTGAGAAATAAATTTCTGTTGTTTATAAGTCACCTAGTCTATGGTAACTTTTTTGTAGTGGCATAAACAGACTAAGACAAGTTGTGATCATTATTCCAGGGATTTAGCTAGCCCAAGAAAATTCTGCAAGTAAGGGGCCAGAGGAATAGGTACTCCAACTCCACCCTCTTCCCTCTCTCCAACTTTCTGGGGCTCTCCATTGGCTGAACCCAATCAGAAACCAGTGGGCAGCACCAGGTACAAAGTAGATCTGGAGGACACCCAGTAAAGGTCCACTATCCTCCTATAACTACTATTGGCATTTTAAATATAAATGTTTGTGTTTGTTGCTTTTTACCTTTCTTTTTCCCTAAGAATACTGGCATACTTCCTTCCACACATACTGTATCATAGACTCATAGAATTGAAAGAGACCTTAGCATCATCTAAGTATCTTTTTTATTATAAAAAATTTTATTAGGATATATTTGTTATACTAGGGGGGATTCATAATGACAATTCTGATTAGGCTTATATTATACATTGGTTAGATCACCCCCATCTTCTCTCCCCCTCCTTGCCCCACTTAAAGCAATTGCAAGAGGTTTCTTCATTCTATTTCATATAATTATATGAAATCCATCACCATATACCATCACCCTAATCTCCATTATTCATACTTCCCCTCCCTATAGTACCCCCCCACATTGTACCTATTTTACAGTCCTGTGTTTCATTATTAATATTTAAGTTGATGTTCAAAGGGGTTTCTCTATATATTGCTGTTGTGAGTATACTTTATTTTGGTCAATTATGGGTTTTAGGTATTCAAAATGTTGGCTGTAGCTACATTGTGTAGTTGAACAGTGTCATCAAGCTTTGGGCTCTCTGCAGCCCGTGATTTATCTACAAAGGAGATGTACTAATGCTTATTTAAATAAATTAAAAAAATTTTAAGTATGTAAATACTAGTATTAGTTTTATGTAATTCAAGGAAAAGCGGACAGCTGCACTTGTTTTGTTTTGTTTTTTCACATTGGATTAAAATATCTTCCATCAGCAACAAACATCAGACTATTTTAACCAATATTCAAAACCATCAGACCAAATGTTATGGTTTTGAAGAATATTTCATCACTGGTTACAGTTTTAAATAGATACCGATTGCCTTTTCATAGCCATAGGTCAGAAACTCTGTTTCAGATTTGGTATAACACATGTTCTTTTAACCATTTCCTAAGGAACATACTAAAATGACAACAATTACCTGAATTATGTTCTATAAGAAAATATTAGTCAATTATTTTAGAAAATGTACAATTGTAGAAAATGCTAACTTTTAAAATTCATGTTTGGTTGCTAGTATTTTTTTTCTTTGAAAATACATTAAGGTAACTTCATTTTGTAGCTTGCTGCATTAACACCTGTAATTACTATTGTGGAAAATTTTATTTTTAAATTGGTGTATATGTTCTACCAGGATTGATTTTAAAAGGATGTTACCTTTAAAAAAAATTTATTTATTGGCAAAAATGTTCAATTTAGTTACAAATTATGTTTTCTTGAAAGTTGTTTATTCTGTACTAAAAGTAGTCCTGTCACTGTGTTTATATGCTGTTAATAGAAAGGGAACTGACTGCTATTTCTGGGCTATTTTAACCAAAGCAAAGGTAAAATAATTTAACATCTTGTGGATAATTACTTCAACAAACCATATTTTGGGACTTCATTTTTCTATATAAAAGAAAATATACTTCAAAAAAAATGTGGGCTAACCAACCTGACATTTTGAGGGAAAAAATGTACTAGCCTCATAAACATGTGAAGAGAAATTCAGCCAGTCCATACCTGTTCCAGACAGCAAGATTGGGTCAATTAAAAAATGCAACTCAAGATGAATGTGATTAATTCTATAATTTTAAGTACTTCTGGTATAATTTTACTGAATGGCCCCATGAAAGAAAATAACTATAGAGAAATTTCCAGGTGTATCTGACTCAAAATTGAGACTTGACTAACCTGGTGATAAAACCATCACACTTACCAACAGGAAGAGAAGAGAGGGGAATGCAGTGGCCCTTGTTCATTGAAACTGCTAATGATGAGGCAAATTACCAAAAATCCTTGAGCACTTCTGCAAATCTGGCTTCTCATTCAGAATTTCTTACCCAGACCCCCGTGACTGATGATGACTCACTTGGTTTTACTTTTACTGCTGGAGAGCTGACATTTGACAGTCAGATTGCATGACTTTAGCAAGTAAAAATATTTTATTCTGCATTCAAGCAGGCCTCCTTCAAAAATACTAACAGATGCTCCTCTCTCTAAACACAGACGCAAAGCTAAAGTGCATTCCATGATGTTTAGGAATTTAACAGATAGGGAAGGGATAAGTTATTCAACAAATGTTAGGAAAACTGATATCCAACACAAGCATGCCCCAAGCTGTGGAGGCAAGATATCTAAAGACTCCACAAAAGTGGAGACAGGCCACTAGAATGCTGGGTAAACAAACAGGCTGCTTGCTCTGGGATCTCTTAGTGCTTTGTGTTCACTGTGAAGTGACAAATTGGGAAAGGTGGTATGCAGCATTCTTCAAATTTATTTGGTCATGGAACCATGGTTGTCTGTGGGATATTACTAAACATCTTACAGAACTAACACTCTCTGTAACACAACTTGGGACAGACTGAAATTTTGGGAAATGTCCAATATCAAATATGGCAGAGAAGGAAAACAGAATGTGGACTGAAAAGTGACGCCAGATTTAACAATAAGAAGTCATCGATGTTTTTACCAAAAACAATTTTAGTAAAGTGCCATGTATAAATAGAAATTCAACAGAAGCCTGCCGACAAATCCTCTTAAAAACACAAAGTTCTAAAATTTTAAAGTATTTTCTCATTTGAAGATTCCTCACAGTTTTAAATCTGGAAAAGCTCTGAAATTGGCTATCCAGGTACACATCACTGCAATCTTCTATGGTTTCTATTAAATTGCCTCCTTCCCTATAGCTAATGCAGGTTTCCTATGAAATATGTTTCCCACATGTAATTCAAATGGCCACAAGAAAACTTTGCTCCTTTGCTATGCACCTGTATGTCATAAGGAAGCATCAGTTAAATAAAAGTTGTCATAGAACTAAAAACCAAAGTATAGAATTAATCGCTTGGCCTATTTTTGTTTGTTTGTTTTGTTTTTTGGTGCTGGGGACTGAACACAGGGCTTCATACACTTGAGCCATTCCCCTTAGTCCATCTAGCATTTACTTTGGTTTTAAGACAGGGTCTTGTGCTAACTTTGCCCAGGACCAGCGTTGGACCACAATCCTTCTACCTCCACCTCCCAAGAAGCTGAGATTACAGGCATGAGCCACCACACTGGCTCCAAAGTATGGAATTAGAACTGATTAATCTTTAATAGTTTCCTCCTATCAGTGAGCAATACAAACCATAAACACATAAACATCATAAACCATATTACTGTCTACTTTTTATTGCTAATGAAATACGGACTAATGTAACAGCACCAAAAGAAGACCTGGAAGGATGTTAACATTACCACCTTTGCATGGTAAGAGTATTGAAGACTTGTTTTTTTTCTTTATAGTCAATTTTAAATGTTTCTGTTATTAATGGTCATCCTGTATATAGTTAAAAACTAGGTTACTTTCAAGTATTAGTAAAGGAGTTTCTTAATTATAGATAAATTTTATTTTATTCTTTCATTGACTCAGCAGGGGAAAAACTGTTTCTGTTCTTCCTCTGATAGCAATAGAAAGAAAACAAGCCAGGAAAACCACGCCAAAATGGCTCAGGGAGAGGAAACAAGTTTTAAATAATTTTTTCCTATAATTTAACATTTTCAACACATACCATTTCTTAAAATTCTATGCAAGACTTTCAAGTTCTACAGGTAAAAAATTATTATGGGAAAAACTGGTTAATTTAATTACTCGTTATTTTCAAATAACAAAACAAAATACCAAGCTTTTCCAATCCTATTTAACAAAACTCTGGATCCAGACAGTCTGTATTATGAACTTAGCTCTCTCTCTGACCTGTATGTAACCTTCAGCAATTGACTTAATTTCTCAATACTTACTTTACTTATCTGTGAATTGGGCATAAAACATGTATTTCACAGAAGATTAAATGAGTTATATGCAAAAGCTTAAGTAGTCAGTAAGCTTGCTACTACTGTGACAGCAGATCTCAATTCTGTCAGCACAGCTGAACCACTTCTCCAGTATTTAAAAGTCAAATGGCAAAAAATGACCTTGGTCCAACTAAATGAGAGTCTGAGGGTATGGAAACCAGACATACAATTTTCTTTTAAATCTGCCACAAAAATATATGTGCAAAGGTCTTGAGTAGGTATTTCTCAAAAGAAAGCATGCAAATGCCAACAGAGATATAAACAAATGTTCAACATCACTGGTCTTCAAGGAAATGCAAGTAAAATCAAAATAAGGTATCACCTCACACTTGTGGGAAAGGCTATTATCAAAAAGACAAAAGATAACAAGATGAAGATGAAGTGAAAATGTGGAGAAAAGGGAACTTGTAAACTTGTTACAGGACCATAAATTGGTAAAACTGACTGAAGGTTCCACAAAAAACTCAGAACTATCAATAATCCCACTTCTGTGTATATTTCCAAAGGAGATGAAATCAGTATGTTAAAGAGACTGTCTGTATTCCTAGGTTCATTGTAGAATTACTCACAATATCCAAAATATTAAATTAACCTATGTGTCCATCAATAGATGAATAGATAATACAGTGTGTGAATACACACAGACGCACATGTGCAATAGAATGTCATTTAGCCTTAGAAAAGAAGGAAATCTTGTATATGCAATCATGTGAATGAGACAAGAAGACATTGTGATTCTAAGTGGAATCAGTCAGACACAGACAGATATACGATTTCACTTATGTGTGGAATATAAAACACTAGAACTGATGGAAGCAGAGTAAAAAAGGTGGTTCCTAGAGCTTGGGGGCAATGGGAAGGATCTGGTCAAGGGTACAAAGTTTCAGTTAGACAAGAAGAATAAGGTTTTTTAGGTTTATTGCATGGCATGGAACAACAGTTAATAATAGTGCAATATGTATTTCAAGACTGCTAACAGACTAAATTTCAAATGTTCTTACCACAAAAACAGTTAAGAATTTAAAGTGATTTGTTAATTAGATTTAATAATTCCTCAGTGTATATATCTATCACAACATCACTTTGTATTCCATAAATATATCAAAATGCAATGGTATTTTTAAAAGCTACTGAGATGACCATGATGAACCGTTGGAGTTGAGAACCACGGGTCTGGTGTATGACCAAGCTCCTTTCACCTATACTCACAGCTGTAGTCCCTCACTAGGTTCTCTGCAATGGCCTTTGATGTGTGTTCCCTGCCTTTCCGTCCAGTCTCACTTATTGGTCTTCCATACAATTGCCAAATTCACTTTCTGAAAGAAAAGCTCTGTTTGGATTATTCTCTTGCCTAAATTAGCTCTCCCTCACTCAGCAAATAAAGTTTGAAGTTTGAGCTTGATACTCATGATTCTAGTTATTATTCACATTTCCTGCCATCCCTCTTGGCAACAGTTCTACCTTGCTAAAGACAGAGTCCACTTCCATGTGAGGGAGTGGGCTTCCCTCCATGAGATACCTGCAGGTCAGGTGTAGATGATGACATCATATGAGGGTTGAAGAAAGGACTGTCAATGACATTTAAAGTTAATTCTGATTCAGTCTATGATCCTACAAATTATATTAGGTTCAGGGGTAAGTGCTCTTTATTTTCCCTAGACTGAAGGCTAAAGAGGGAGAGTTTCATGTATTTTCTATTTGTCATAAGAGTTGGTTTAAGTGTCTTGAGTAGAGCCAAGATAAAAACAGAAAACTGGAAAGCAGTCTGTCTGAGAGGCTATACATCAGAGATTACCAAAGTTCTGATTTATCACTGCCTTAATAATACTTTTCTAAGAATTCCCGAGAGAGAGAGAGAGAGAGAGAGAGAGAGAGAAAGGGAAAGGGAGAGAAGGAAAGAGAACAATGCTGCATAGATAGAATATTAATGAGCTTTTCCATCAACTACTTATAAGACAGTGTTCTCTTCTTAAGAAGAATGTACTAGGTCAAAGAATACACCTTTTCATATTCTAAGTATTAATAAAATGAAGAAGCTGGAAGGAAAAGTAAATGTGTACTTCAAGCACTTTTTTGAAGTACTAAGGGTTCAGAATGGTAGCAGTCCTACTCATGCTCCATTTTCTTGTAAAACAAGAACATAATTAAGTCTGAAAATTATTACTATTATCCAAATATAAAAAAGTAGCTTTTAAATCTTTAAAACCTTTTTCACTTCTCCACAACCCAAAATGATACTATAGCATTATTTATAAATCTAACATTTCATATTTAAGAATCATAGTAAATCCTCTTATACCTTAAATATTAATTAAGCCATTTTTAAAGTTTTGTGGCTATGGAACATGAAATAACCACTTCTCCAGCAATCTGAAAACCAATGAATAGTAGTAAGTTTTCTCAAGGCTACTCAGGATTAGGACCAAAGCCAAGGACACACTTGAAATTCTTGGCCCTCAATCATGAGTTCAGACCTTCTTAGGGTAAGCAAAGTAAAACTAATGGCTTTCAGAGATCAATATCATACAAAGTACAAGAACAAAACTCTTGTTATACCTGACAAGGTTTTTATAAAGTTGTAAATCTTGACATAAAATCTTTTAAGTCTGCTAGACCATGGCAGGAAAATAAATAACATGAAGGAAAAAAAAGTTATATAGGCATGGTGGCACACCTGGAAGGCTAAGGAGGATCATGAGTATAAGGCCAGCCTGAGCTATATAGAGAGACTCTCTCAAAAAATTTTTTTAATTGACATGCTATATTAACATTATTAAAAGATGCAATCCTATGCCACCTGCAATGATCACCACCATTATTTGTGTTGGGTTTCTACACAAATAATGGAGCACTATCATGCAGATTGTCTAGCTGCTGGTACTATTTTCACCTTTGTTTTACTCACAAAGAAACAGAGATTCATAGCTGACATATAACTTTTTTCAAGATAACCTATTTAGCCTACAGTAGTGAAGGACCTTAAATCTAGGTCTTCTCATTCAAGACCCCCATGGCCTCTCTCCTCTTCTAAGACTTCAAATTAGTATAATTTTCAATGTTGGCTTTCTCTATCTTCTCTATGTCTCTTATTTCATCTTTCCTGCTCTGTTTCCAATGCTGTTTCAAGGACTCTCCTCACTCCCTATCTTGAACTATCTTCAGTTCTTTGATTCCTTTTTCTGATCTACTATTACTCAGTTTTTCAAGGGAAGTATTACCAATAAAATATAATGAGTTGATCCACAGATAAAAATGGAAGTGAAATTCTGAGGTAGTTCATATTAAAACATTTTGTACTTCTTCTAGGCCCATCATCTAAGCCTATTTGGCTCTTGAGTTAGGATATTGATTTTCTGAATCTCTTGGGATCCTACACTTGAGAAAGTGAATACCAAAACTTGAACTATAAGAAATGTGTTCTTCCAACCGTCTTTATTACTAAACTGTACCCAAATCCACTTAGATCCCAAATTCAAATAGTGAAAGTTCAGTTAGCAATGTATATCTCTACTCTGAAAGGCAATCAAAATAGTATTTATATTAAATACTGAAATTATGAGAACTACTGTAAACCACTAGAGGAAGATGACCTTTAAAGAAACTCATGTTTCTGTATCTCCAGGGAAAATCCTGGAAATAAATAAGAGGACAGTATGGAAAAGGTCACTCTATATTCTCTACCAGAGTAAAGCTGATACATGGGATATTAAAAAATAACTATGGCATTGGGGGACAAAACTTTTGGGACTTATTTTAAGTAAATAAAATATAGTCTCAACTATGTTAAGTGTGAAGCAGATGCATTTTTAATTCCTGAATTTGGTGAACATGTGACTTTTGGTTGATATGTAAGAACCAATCTAAAGTGGTGATGGTGGTCAATATGTGTAATGTAGTAACTAAAACAAAAGTTAAATACCAGAATGCTAATCATAAAAAGACATAGGTTCTGGTCTTTTCTTCCATCAACTAACCAAGACCTTGGGAAGGTTACATCAATTCTAAAATGAGACATTAGCTTTGATGATAATCAAAAGCTCTAAAATGCTCCAATTCCATACCTATTTGAAACTTTTTTTTTTACCATTGCTTTACCTTAAAACATTATTCAATAGTAACAAAAGCAATACACATTGGCTGTGGTTTTTAAAAATGCAGACAGACATACTTAGGGAAATAAAAATTACCAATGAGGTTTGAGTACAGCTCAGTGTTAGAGTGCATGCTTCGTAGGGCAAGTGTGAGCCCTGAGTCCAATCCCCAACATCAAAAAACAAAAACAAAAACTTTAATTCTATCCTCCAGAAATAATAGCTGATTCCCACAAAATAAATATATGTAGAGTTTTATACCTTGCTTTCATAAAACATATTTTAAACTTCTTTCTATGGTATTAAATGTTTTAAAACATTGATTTTTTTTTAATGGGCAAGGGGGAAAGGCAAGGATTTCAGAATCATTCAGGAGTGTTCCAAGCAAATACTTTCTGTTCTTTCTGATATCCCTTTGGGGCTGTCACTTTTCAATTCAAGAATCACCATGGTGGACCTACTGTTGGCAGTAACTGTAATTTCCCTTAGGAATTGCTAAAGAACACTGTCCCTCCAAAATCAGTTGTAATGGCTACTATGTTAGACTGTGCCATCATTTATTAACCAGTTCCCTTCACTGAATATTTAGGCTATTTTCACTATTATAAATATTATAATAAACATCTGTGTAACTCTATCTCTGTATATATCTATAATGAAATCCTTGACACTTTCCTCTTCATTAACTGGTAATAAAGAAGTGTGAAGTCTTTCATTCTATTCCAATAAAATCTTATTAATATGGGAATCTGACATAAAATGGAAAATGAGTCTTGATTAGGAAATTTGGTTACTCACCAGCATCTTTGATCCAATTATCGTAAAAACGCACAGTCCTTGATGTAAGATCACTGAAGGCCATTTTCCACGAGATTTACTATCTCTTTTAACAGATTCAGTAAATGAAACAGAAATGATTTTATGATCTATAAATGCAAATAAAGATAAGATTTTAGTAATAGAATATTAAAATGCTAAAAAATTAATAGGAATAACTGCAGAGCAGCAAACTTTGAGGTTAAATGCATTAGTGAACCATATGCAGCTGGAAACACTTCAGATTTTTCATCCTTCCGGGGACACTGCTAACTTCACTGAAAAAGGCTAACATTCTATGTACATGATACAAAAGGAGGAAATGATTCTAGGACTTTTTATAGGAATATCTTCCTTTTGTGGAAAAAACAGGTCAGGAACAGACTGTACCACCATGGCAATACTGAAGTAAAACTGAGAAGAAAATCAAGAACATACACAAACTCAGCGAAAGTACACTGATCCTAGATTTGAAGCTCATCTTCAAGCCACATAAGGTATTTTACGTGCAAGATTTTATAATCAAGTAAATAGAGGCAGAAGAGGGGTGAGGAAGACTTATAAAAGCCAAGGAGAAGTGTTTAGTTTATCTGAACAGGAAGACAAGAATAAATGGAAAAAACTCTTCTGAAAAAGATGAGCAAAGGGGAGAAACTAGCCCTATTATATATTAAAATACATTATAAATCTCCAGTAATTAAAACAGTGCAGAGACAAATTAATGGAAGAGAACAGAACATCCAGAAATAAACCAAATACATTTAGGAATGCAGAACTGTATTTCAGTAATTCTAAAACATATACTTTCCCATATCTCCATATCTCTGAAATCAAGGTACACCTTACAAATGAATGATGTGTTATAAAATTAATGGTGTATTTGATTCAAAGCCATATGGTGAGAAGATATAAAGATTCTTGAGACAGGTGGTGGTAATGCTTGCATAACAATGTAAATGTACTTATTGCCACTGAACTTTACATTTTAAAATGGTAAATTTTTACATTGTGCATATTTTATCACGCATTTAAAAAAGTCCTCTAGGTTTGCCACAGGAAAATTGAGACTTACTTCTAACATTCTAAACAAAGCTATATCATTTATATAAATGTAAATAAATAAGACATGATATATGATAAAGGTGTCATCTCAAATCAGTAGGCACCGAGTTACCAAGCAGTTATTCAAAAAATGATGTGGTGCAACTGGATAACCATCTGGAAAAAAAACTGAATCCAAACATTATAACTCAAAATGAAATTTCAAATAGATAAAAGATTAAAATGAGAAAAAAGAACCAGGAAAGTACTAGATGACAGTATGGAAGATTTCATAACTTTTGTTTGGGAAAGGCCTTTCCAACTGTGACTTAAAATCCAGAAGAAAAAAGAGAAAGCTAACAACATAACCAATAAAAAAAAATCAAGAAGGACACAAAACGCCTTACAAAGATGGAGGGCAGGACAGGCAGCATGGGGAGTACAAAAGAAAAGGCAGCCAGTTCTAGCTTCTGAGAAAGACCTTAAAGTCCAGCAGTCAGAACTAGTCAGTACGTTGGGAGAGCCCATCCCTGGATGAGGGTTTTACAGACAACTTCTTGGGGTTTTGACTCCAGAAAATCAGAGATCAGATGGAATCTCTACTCCTATTATCTTGGGAAAGAAAAAAACTTCTGGAAAAGACTGCTAGGCAACTTTCCACCTAGATACTAATCTGTGTTTCCTGTATTCCCCTGCCCATCTGTTCTCCCTGGAACTGGTTGGTTTCCCCTTCCACCCTTACCCTCTCCACTTTAAGAAGAAACAAAGCTTTAAAGAAGTCTGGAGTGATGGACAGAAAGATCCCAGTGCCTGAGTTTGTTCCTTCCCAATGATTTAGTAAGATAAGAAACTTAGAAGTATATTAAAATGTGAGGACAACTATAAAGTAAGAACTGTTTAAAAACAGGATTTCTTGAACTCAACAGTGTCCACATTTTGAGCCAAACAATTCTTAGTTGTGAAGACCTGTCCTGAGCATTGTTCAATGTTGGAACCAACACTGGCTTCTCTCCATTAGACACCAGGAACCTGTCTTCCCCAGTTTGAGATAACTAACACTGTCTCCAGAAATTGCCAATGTACCCTGGAGGGTAAAACTGTCCAAGCTGTGAATCACTGTTTTAAAGTAATCATCTAAATCATCATTCAGATAACAGTAGTTTGCCCCAGAGTAATCATTTTGGCAATTGTGCATTTATGTCAGTGATACTGATATAAATGTTCTTCAAAACAATTTCTGAGCTTTTTTATATATCAACTTCAAAATTTTTCAGAATTATGTTTAGATGGCTTTAAAAGTCAAGTTCATAACTATAAAAGTTAAGAATAGTTTTGAAGGTAAATAATCAAGGGCCATACTTTTATCAGTAGCATGAGAATGGGGGAGGTGGGGATAGGTTTAATGATAAAAAAATTATTACTAATATTTTCATTTTATAGTTTATAAGATGAGAACAATTCCAAAGGAACAAATCCACAAATCTTTAGGGCTATGGAGATATTAGTAGAGTAAATGTAGAGTAGCTTGAGGTGACTATTTTTGAGGTAATGTTCATTTAGATATACATTTCAGCAAATAATTTAAATCTTTCTTGTCTTTATCATTCATTAAAAATTCCAAGAAAAAGCAAGTGAATCTAAAATGTAGAACAGAACAACTCAGTGGAAAATTATTTCAAATGACAAATGTTCTAAATTGTGAATAACTATATATGTATGTATGTGCTACAATATAAACATATAACAAATAGACACAGAGAAACAAAAATATGTATCCATTACACCTGTCATATAGGATTTTGTAGGGGGGGGAGTTATGTTTCACATTAACTAATAGCTCTCATTGGTATTTCCTTTATCACCCCCCCTTTCCTTTCTTGCTATTTCTCTCTACTTAATAGCTTGGCTATTCACATTGCCTTGAGAATAAAACAGAACAGCAGAAGGAAAAAAACCAAAAGTTTTATCCTAGTTTTTGGGTTATAAAAACTTATGTACTCAGCCATACAAAAGAACTCAGGGTATAGGCAAGAAGTTTCTATGCCTCCTAACACAGAAAAGCATGATTCAGGCTTGGAGTAGTGAGAGTAAAGGGAGAGCAATTGGTGCAGACCCCAGAGAGAAGGGCAATAAACCCTGAGGAGGTGCAAGGTAAGATTATTGGATACTGAAAGCACCTGGGATCAGGTCCTATAGCCTGGGTAGGGCTGGAACAGGTGACTATTAGGGCCTTGGGCAGCCAGAGAGAGCTCCTTTTGCTTCAATGTGATGTAAGGGCAGCAGAAAGACTTATGGGTAGCTTGATAGGCATGAAGTACTGCAAAAGAATGGAGAAAATGAAGAAATCATATAGATAAAAAACAATGTATATCTCTTTTGATACCAAAAAGGACAACTGGCCAAAGACTGGATGAGCACTGGATAGTTAGAGGATGTAATATAGATAGAGAACATGGAGAGCCAAAAGGTTAATTCATACTATATAAGCTTCATGTAACTTGCTGGGGATTGGAGAGTGCTTATATATAGGGTAGAGAAGTAATAAGTTTACAACACCCCCAAGAAATAAAAACTAAGCTATAAGGAAATAAAAATTGTGTTCTTACATCAGACATACACCTGAAGTCAAAGTCATCACAAGAGGAAAGGTCATTATATAATGATAAAGGTATCAATTCATCAAAAGGATATAACAAGGGCTGGAGATACAGCATGGTAGTAGAGCACTTGCCTAGCATGAGCGAGGCTCTGGGTTCCATCCCTTTCACCACACACATGCACACATAAAAAATGACAATTATAAATATATATGCACCTAACATCTGAGCACTGAAATGTAGAAAACAAATATTAACAACACTTAAGGGAGACATAGAGGCAATACAATATTAGTAGGGAACTTCAATACCTTACTCTCAACAATGCATAAATCATTCAAACAGAAAGTTAACAAGGAAACATAGGACTGATACAGACCACTCTAGCCAACAGGAGCATAGTATACATTGTTCTCTAGAACACAGAATGTTCTCCAAGATAACTCATATGATCATCTGCAATGCAAGTTAAAAAACTTAAGAATGAGAGCTGTAGAACAGCTCAAGTGGTAAACTTGCCTGTGTAGCAAGCATGAGGCCCTGAGTTCAAACCCCAGTACCACAAAAAAATAAAAATAAAAACCTTAAGAATGAAACCATATTAAGTATCTTTCCTAACTACAATGGTATGAATTTAGATATCAATGATAGGCAGAAAAATGAGAAATTCACAAATATGTGAAAAGTGAAAAACACACTCTGAATCAACTAATAGGCAAAGAAGAAATCTAAAGGGAAATTTGAAAATAGCTCAAGACAAATAAAGGAAGAAACATTGCAAAACTTATGGTATGTAGCAGTTCCAATGAATACTTACATTAGAAAAGAAGAAAAAAATTAAAAAACTATTATTCTTCATGGAACTACAAAATAAAAAAGAAACTAAGTCCAAAGTCAGAAGAAAGAAGGAAGGAAATAACACAATAACAGTAGAAATAAAAGATAGGCACTTGAAAAACTGTAAAATAAAAGCTAGAAAAACAAATGAGTTGGTTTTATGAAAACTAAACAAAATTGAACAAAATGTCAACTAGATTAAGAAAAAAAGGGAGAAGATTCAAATAATAAATCAGAAGGAAAGAGCAGACATTACAATTGGAATCAGGGAAATACAAATGCATCAGGTCAGATTTTTCTGTATTCTATATCTCTTATGTTGATGTTTCCCAAACCTAGCTAAAAATAAGAACCATTGAAAGAAATTTGTATTCAGTTAGGGTTTGAGGAAATTCTGATGATGGGCTAGATTTGAGAACCTCTTTTTTTTTTTTTTGGTGGTGGTGGTGGTGGTGGTACTGGGATAACTCAGGGCCTCACCTAAAGGCAGGTATCCAAGGTGCCCACTATCTCCACTCCTATTCAACATGGTACTGGAATTCCTAGACAGAGAAGTTAGGCAAGAAGAAGAAATAAAAGGAATACAAATAGGTAAAGAAACTGTCAAAATATCCCTATTTGCAGATGACATGATCCTATACCTTAAAGACCCAAAAAACTCTACACAAAAACTCCTAGACACCAAAAACAGCTACAGCAAGGTAGCAGGATACAAAATCAACTTAAAAAAATCATTAGCTTTTCTATACACCAATAATGAACAAATTGAGAAAGAATATATGGAAACATTTCCATTTACAATAGCCTCAAAAAAAATGAAATACCTAGGAGTAAAATAACAAAGGATGTGAATGACCTCTAGAAGGAGAACTACAAATCCCTGAAGAAAGAGATCAAGGAAAACTATAGAAGGTGGAAAGATCTCCCATGTTCATGGATTGGTAGAATCAACACAGTAAAAATGGCTGTACTACCAAAAGCAATCTACATGTTTGATGCAATTCCCATCAAAATCCCAATGACACTCATTACAGAGACTGAAAAATCTACCCTAAAGTTCATTTGGAAACACAAGAGACCATGAATAGCCAAGGCAATACCCAGCAAAAAGAGCAATGCTGGAGGTATCACAATACCTGACTTCAAACTATATTACAAAGCACAAACAATAAAAACATCATGGTACTGCCACAAAAACAGACATGAAGACCAGTGGAACAGAATAGAGGACCCAGATATGAATCCACACAGCTATGCCCACCTTATTTTCACAAAGATGCCAAAAATATACAATGGAGAAAAGACAGCCTCTTCAACAAATGTTGCTGGGAAAAGTGGTTATTCATCTGCAAAAAGCTGAAACTAGATCCATGTTTACCACCCTGTACTAGTATCAACTCAAAATGGATCAAGAACCTTAATATCAGACCCGAAACTCTGAAGTTAGTACAGGAAAGAGCAGGGAATACTCAGGAAGTAAAAGGTACAGGCAAGGACTTCCTCAATAGAATCCCAGCAGCTCAGCAACTAGGAGAAAGGATGGACAAATTGGACTTCATAAAATTAAAAAAGCTTCTCTACAACAAAAGAAATAGCCTCTAAACTGAAGAGACCACCCACAGAGTGGGAGAAAATATGCCAGCTATACATCAGACAGAGGACTGATAACCAGAATATACAGGGAACTTAAGAAACTAAACTCTCCTCAAATCAATGAACCAATAAAGAAATGGGCAGCTGAACTAAACAGAACTTTCTCAAAAGAGAAATTCAAATGGCCAAAAAACACAGAAAAAAAATGCTCACTATCTCTGGCCATAAAGGAAATGCAAATCAAAACCACACTAAGATTCCACCTCACCCCTGTTAGAATAGCTATCATCAAAAACACCACCAACAACAGGTGTTGGCAAGGATGTGGGGAAAAAGAAACCCTTGTACACTGCTGGTGGGAATGCAAGCTAGTGCAACCACTCTGGAAAAAAATATGGAGGCTTCTTAAAAATCTAAACATAGATCTGCCATATGATCCAGCAACCTCACTCCTGGGGATATACCCAAAGGAATGCAACACAGGTTACTTCAGAGACACCTGCACACCCATGTTTACTACACAATAGCCAAGATATGGAAACAGCCAAGATGCCCCACTACTGACGAATGGATTAAGAAAATGTGGTATTTATGCACAATGGAATTTTACTCAGCCATGAAGAAGAATGAAATCTTATCATTCTCAAGTAAACGGATGGAATTGAAGAACATCATTCTGAGCGAGGTTAGCCAGGCTCAGAAGACCAAAATTGTATGTTCTCCTCATATGCAGACTTTAGATCTAGGGTAAAAACAGCAATATTGTAGGACTTGGGTCACGTGCTAAGGGGAGAGCACATACAGGAGGTATGCGGATAGGTAGGAAACCCAAAACATGAAAGTGTTTGATGTCCCCACAAGAGGAGCTAATACAGAAACCTTAAAGTGACAGAGGTCAATATGAGAAGGTGATCAGGAACTAGTGATGTGGTCAGGTAGAGATGAATCAATTTGGGTTGTAATACACTTATGCATGGAAGCAATACTAGGAATCTCTTTGTATAGCTATCCTTATCTTAAAAGTGTTTAAGAATAACACTTTTTCTTATTTTTGCTATGTCTTCTCTTCAACAAAATTGGAGAAAAGGGCAGAACAGGTTCTGCCTGGAAGTGAGGGGGAGTGAAGGGAGAGGGAAGGGGCTAGGGGGAGAAATGGCCCAAACAACGTATGCACAGATGAATAAATGAATAAAGAAAAAAAAAGGCAGGTGCTCTATTACTTGAGCTATGCTCCCCCAGACCTTTTTACTTTAGTTATTTTTTAGATAGGTCCTCCTTTTTTTGCCCAAGGCCATCCTCAGCTATGATCTTCCTACCTATGCTTCCCATATACAAGAATTCTCTACAAGTATTGGCTTGAGATGGAGTCTTGCCAATTTTTTTCTCCCCTAGGCTGACTTTAAAACACAATTCTCCCAATCTCTGCTTCTTGACAGACTGGGATTACAGGTGTGAGCCACCATGCCTTCCTGGAAACTTCTTAATACCATTCTCAGACAGGACAATCCCACAATTTTGGGACAGGCATAAAATACATGAGAAAGGACTCAGCTAATGAACATCCCTTGGACATGGTCAGGCATCTAGATCAGGGCAGAAAAAGGAGTTGTAATTGACACCAGATTGAAGTCAATCTGGTGATGAAAAAAACTCATATGCAAAATGGAAGCAGATCTCTGAGTCAGCGCCACACATTCAGGATATAAAGAAATTGACTTCTTACTTTAGTTGTGAGCTAAATGTGAAGTTCTCAAGCACTGTGAGAGAGCAAAATCAAACTGATAGGGTCAAATATCAGTTGGGTGTTTAACACCTAACTTTCTGTTTGCAAATAAGAAGGTCATGAATCATTAGGATGCTTTGTCTGTAAGAACAGAGCATTCAACCTAAATGGCTTAGCCATAAGAGGATGTGTTGTTTCACAGAACCAGAGTCCAGAGGTAGGGCAGTTCTGAGTAAGTAAAGTCCTGATTTGTTGTTGTTAATGGAAAAAAACAGTGGCAGCTATTCTGAATACCACATTCTCACACTCTTTCATCCAGAACAGTGAAAGGGAACTTTCTCTCTCTATTTTTTCTTTCTTACTTCCTTGCTTCCTTTCTCTCTTTCTTTTTTTCTTTCTCCCTTCCCTCCCTTCTCTCCCTTCCTCCCTTCCTCCCTTCCTCCCTTCCCCCCTTCCTCCTTCCCTTCCTTCCTTCCTTTCTCTTTTTTTGGAAAGGGTATTGCTATGTAGCCCAGGCTGGTTTCAAGCTCACTGCTCTTTTGCTAATGTGTCTTTTTAGGAGCTTCAAAATCCTTCTACACATTTCCCCAGAAAGCCCTTAAGCATCATCTTAGCCTCTTGCCTACATCCTTCATGCTCATTTTTGCTCAGCAACAGACTAGTGGGCAAAATGGACTGTTTTTGTTTGTTTGTTAGTTTGTTTTAATTGTTTAGGCATTGTTCACAGCATTTCAGCCATTCCCATGAACTTCAGTCTCCAAGAGTTGGAGGCCACTGGTCTTGACCAAAAGAAATTTCTCAACAAAATTGTCAGAAAAACGATCTTTTCTATCAAAGTATATACCACCCTCTTAGATCACTTAAATTCCTCAGGTCGCCATCTTAGGTGACTTGCATTGTTTAAAGCGTTCCTGTTTCTTCTTCCAGGTTCTTGTATAGCCCCATTGACCACGAAAAATGCCTGCCAAATAACATGCCAAAACCCATCCCCCAAGCCTTTTACCCAATCAAGAGAGATTGTGAATCTTTGACCTGGACAAATCCCAGGTAAGGGGCAGGTACAACTATGTCAGGGATATAAGGACTATTTTGTCAACTATTTTGTGCTCACGTGTCCACTCAGCTGGAGTGAATGCATGCTTGCATTTGATCAAAAGAAATTGGTTTGTCAAGATTTTCTCTGTCTCTCATGGGTCTGTTTTCAGCACCAGAGGGCCTTTATTTCCAACAATTTGGGGGCTCACTCCAAGATTTTACATTCTGTCCAGGAAGGGGAGCCCCAGCCCTTCCCTGGGGAGATGTATCCTGCTGCCTAACTGATGCGGCCCCAAGGTTCGGCCGACAGTGACAACATTCTGGATCTGTAAACGAACTCAGACTCCAGAGTTTCCTGACAATGCTGGTAAAAGAGCTCTGAAGACTGGGACCATGGCAACCACATAAATTTTGTGCACAAATCAAGACAAGAAACACCATGGGACTGACCAAGTAATGTCTTGGTGGTCGGGATACTGGAGGCTGTGTGATGTATGAATGAGACGTGTCGGGTGACCCAAAGGGAAAGTGGAATCCTGATCCACAGTTCCAAGGTGACCTCATACTGTTTAAGGCAGAATTAGATTAATCCAGGTCAGGAGCTTATACAGACCCATGACTACCAAGAGGTGCCTCAAGCTCCCACGAGGGATATGGCCAGAGATGGACAAAGTGTAAAAGAATCAGAGTGCAAGAAACCTCTAAGGCAAAAGGGGGTGGGAGGTTGAGCTCCTGATAGACAGAGCACAGTTGACCAGAAGGGAGAAATGGGAAATAAGGCAGCAAAGAGGGAGGCCAACAAATAAAGGTCCAAGACAAAATACCCTCTGAGAGCCCCTGAGGAAAGATGTTAAGGTATTGGGATGATAGCCCCCGTACTAAAGGGAAAAAGAAAGAAAGAATGGTCAAATACTGTTGTTTTATCTGGTCTCAAGAACTGATCATAAAGCTTTTGGTTTTTTTACCAAAATTTGGGTCTGACGAGGACTGGATCTGTCAACTATTAATTCAACATGTAAATGACAAGAGCCCAGTCACTCAAGAGGAGATGAAATATGTCTTCTGTTGGAGACAGAGTCCCATAGTCCTGTTTCCACTTGAAGAAAAAGAAAATGAAAAGACTCCCATCTGGAACTATGCAGACCTACCCAAGATCATGCAATATTTCACAAAAAGTAGAAAACTGGTTGCCTCAGTGGTTACCAACTCATGGAGACTCTCTGGGCTACTGTCAATTCACCAGGGACTGTTTCTCAGAAAAACCAGTGCCCCTGAGCCTTAGTCAACAAGAATATAATTGTGGTTCATACAATGTAGAATCTGGAGTTCACAAGCACCTCTCTTTAGAACACAGTACCAGTGCCCCTCAAACCAGTCATAAACAGATACATCAGAAGAGGAAAAGGCACCCAGAGGAAGGCAGAGAAAAAACAGGAAGAATGGCCCAAGCATAAGAATAAAAGAAGTTCTGAGGAAATGGATTTAGACAAACGTAAGAGCATCCAAAGTAAAAAAACAAAGGTGGAAACAGAAACTGTACAGGTCAGTACAGAAAAGCTTAAGGATCAAAAGGAGAAAAAAAACCGAGATGCATCCTCTAAGAAAGAGGACCATAAGCATAGAAAAGAGAAAAAGGAACATGGCAAAGAAAGGACAGAGGAGGAAATGCTTTGGGACCAGTCTATCCTTGGATTTTGAAGTTAAACTGAAAAAAATAGTTGGAACCTGGTTATATGATGTTCATGTTCTTACCACTTTTCTTATGTGAGCAGATACTTTTAATTTCTAACAAAGGCCAAGTGAACATGAAGTATTTAGTATACTTGCTCTTCACCATGGAAATTACTTTTCCTCGTTATCCAAAAGAATTACTACGTTTTCTTATATATAATCTAATTTCCCTTAATGAGAGTGGCTCTTACTTATCAAATTGCTGTGATGGTGAAATTATTTTCCCCTGGTAGATGATTTATTTTAAATTGGAGGATTTGTAGACTGCAGAATCTGTTTTAATTTTGAGTGAAGATTTTTTTAGTTCATTAGGTTTCTCTATGATGCAATTTAGATTTTTTTTTCCTTTGTTCTACTTGCAGTGTGTTTTCTAGGTTGAAAAGTGAAATACATTATAATAATAATAAGCTTACATTACATATAGTTTTAAAAGTTTCAAAGAGTCTTCATAGAAAATCAGTTTATATTCTGAAAATGTTTATAATAAACATTTTTTAATTTCTGAAAAAAAAAAGAAAAAAGAAAAAAAATGAAACTCCTTCTAACTGGGATTTATTCACCTCTGTTCCCCTCCCCCATTTATAACCCCGCTGCTCCTCCAGCTCAGGTGCCAGAGGTGGTCCCCACGCCACCCCCCTCCAGGCTCCCGCTTTCCCATCTCCCCCTTCCAGTTAGAAAAGTTCAAGTTAGACCTCCATGTGTGCCTCCTCCAATATGTGGATAATTTACTTCTGTCAGGGAAAATGGGGGAGGGGGATGAGGTGATTAACACAACCATTAGTTTTATAAATTTCCTGGGAAGCCAGAGATTTCATATTTGATTTCATATTTGAAATCAATTTCAGTCTCAATTTGCTGAGACTGAAGTAAAATATCTGGGACATTTCATCACTAAGGACCAATAAAGGATTGGTCCAGAAAGAATTCAAGGAATCACTGGTCTCCTGCTCCCAGGAACAAAACAAGAATTAAGAAAGTTCCTTGGCTTAGTGGGATACTGCTGGTTGTGGATAGGCTCAAATGCCTTTAAAACTAAATCGTTATATCTCAAATTGCCCAAGAGGGACCAGACCCCCTTCTTTGGACCCCCAAGGAGATGAAACAAGTAGATGAGCTAAAACAAGCCCCTATCACAGCCCTGGTGCTAGACTTGCCATCTCTTGAACAGCCTTTTTATCTCTTTGTAAATGATGAGTTATCCTTAGGGTGCTAACCCAAAAACATGGGGGTCAACATCAACCTGTAGCCTTCTTAGCTAGATTCCTAGATCCTATCACCCAAGGTTGGCCTGAGTGTATTCAGGCAATAGTGGCTGAAAGTAGAAAAATCACCTTTGTGGGAAGTCTGGTTATTAGCACTCCCCATCAAGATAGAACAATCTTAAACCAAAAGGTGAGTAGATGGCTGACAGATTCCAGGATGCTAAAGTATGAGGCTATCTTGCTAGAAAAGGATGACCTGGCTTTAACTACTGATAAGGCCCTAAATCCAGCCACTTTCTTGGTGGGGAACAGGAGGGACGAGCCCCTGAACATAAATGTTTAGATATTATTGAATATCAAACAAAAGTAAGGCCAGACCTCAGGGAAACTCCTTTCCAGACTGGGTTCCATTTCTCTGTGGATGGATCCTCTCAGGTAACTGAGGGAAAAAGACATAATGTATATTCTACCATAGACAGGGAGGCCGTAACTATAACAGAATCAGGCTGACTCCCTAACAATTGGTCATCAGAGACTAGCGAACTGTTTGCTCTAAATCAGGCCTTAAAACACCTAAAGGACAAAGAAGGGACCATACACACCAATTCAAAATATGCACTTGGCGTGGTCCACACCTTTGTAAAAATCTGAATGAAACAGGGTTTAATCAACAGCAGGGCCAAGACTTGGTGCATGGGGAATTAATTCAACAAACACAAGAGAGCCTAAAACTACCTAAAGAAATAGCCACAGTCCATGTGCCAGGACACCAAAAGAGAGTAAACTTTGAGGCTCAGGGAAATTCTTTTGCAGATGAGACAGTGAAACAGGCTGCTCTCACCCCCAAGGACCCAGTCTTTTGTCTTATCCCATACCTTCCTGCTCCTCCTTTACCCCTCATGAGGAAGAACAACTAAAAAAATCTTGGGGCAATCAGGACTGAACGGGGAAAATGAGTTCTCCCTGATGGGAGGGAAATGATCTCAAAGCCCCTAATGAGAGAACTCCTTACCTATTTCCATCAGGGAAGCCAATGGGGACCTCATGCCATCTACTACGTGGTTGTTTGAGCCTGTGGGTGTATAGGGACCTATATACTACCCAAACAAGTATCAGAAGGGTGTCTCACTTGTCGAAAAATGAACAAGCCCTGAGACAGAAACCAGCTGGAGGTAGAAATGTCAGGATACGACCTTCCAAAGCATTCAGGTAGATTACACTGAGATGCCCAAAATAGGTCATCTTAAATACTTCCTGGTTATCGCAGACCATCTCACTCACTGGGTCAAGGCCATCCCTCTCCCAGGGGCCACTGCTACAAATGTAATTAGGCCATTACTAGTACACATCATCCCAAGGTTTGGAGTTGTAGAAAATATAGACTTAGACAATGGGAATCACTTCACTGCCAACGTCCTTAAGGGACTTATGAAGGCTCTTGAGGTCAAATGGGAATACCGTGTTCCCTGGCACGGTACCTTCCTCAGGGAGAGTTGAAAGAATGAATCAGACACTTAAAAATCAGCTCACTAAATCAGTCTTAGGACCAGATACCTTAGATTAAATGCCTCTCCATAGCACTATTCAGGATTAGGATGGCCCCTGGGAGGGACACTGGCCTCTTCCCTTATGAAATGCTTTATGGGCTTCCTTACCTTAGCTCTGTTACTGATGTGCCCACCTTTGAAACCAAAGATTATTTTCTCAAAAATTATATACTTGGATTGTCCTCTACCTTACCTTCTCTTAGGATAAAGGGGTTGTTAGCACAGGCTCCTCCACTTGACTTTCCTATTCACCCACACCAGTCTGGCAGTTATGTGCTGATCAAGACCCAGAAAGAAAATAAGCTTGAGCCAGCTTGGGAAGACCCTTTCTAGTCCTGCTGACCATGGAACCAGCCATCTGGACTGCAGAGAGGGGGGTGGACTCATTACACACGAGTAAAGAAGGTGCCCTCACCTGACCAGAAAGAACACTGGACCGTGCTCTCAGATCCACTTCAGAGTAACCTTAAAAAGACTATAGTGAAATGATCCTTTCTCTTTCATTTAGGAAATGATGTGTTTATTATTAATGTAACTCAGAGTACTTTTCCCTTAACTGTTGAATTTGATGCATGCCAGTTCTCCTTGTGGAGAACTTACATCCCAACTCCAGCTCCAAGGATACACGTCTCCCTTTTATGACAATCCTAAGGGCTGGACCAGAACCCAAGGCACTGGTAAGACTCCAATTTCCACCATCCAGAACAATCAACAGTCTTTTAACAGACTACAGTCGAAATTACAACTGTTTCAGACACACCCTTCTCCTTCTTGCAAAGATAAACAGTGTGACCCACTTGCATTGGTCATAGAAAACTCTTGGAGTATGACAAAAGAACCATCCACATTTTGTAAATATGGGTTGGGGGGCGATGTCTCAGGAACAGACCTTTTAGGTGCCTTTGAACTCACCTAGCTCCCAAATCCTCTCAGGGAGCACCCAGTTCTACCTCTGCTCCAAGGTTACCTCCACATTTATACAACAATCAAACTCAGGTAACTGTAGTAAAAGTCAAGGACCAAAGATAAACTGTGGCTATTGAAATTGGGCACAGGGATACAAATGCTTGGATGGAATGGATAAAATATTCTGTCTGCACATTAAATAAGAACGATGGTTACTACTGCAGAGGACCTTTACTTTAGACTCTCCCAAGTAACTGGGCAGGCACCTGTGCTTTGGTGCAGTTGGTAATCTCTTTCACCCTAGCATTTAGATACCCAGCCATGCCCAACACCTAGGAGAAGGGAGATATAGGCATAGATGTTGCAGCCAGCCACAGAGGTTCCTTGGATCCCCATGTTTACATTGATGCCGTTGGGTTCCTAGAGGGTGCCAAGTGAATTTAAAGCCAGAAATCAAATTGAAGCAGGATTTGAATCAGTGCTCTTTTGGTGGTCCACCATAAATAAAAATGTCAATTAGATGAGTTATATTTATTATAACCAAAAAATGTTAAGTATACCAGAGACACTATCAAAGGAATAGCACAGCAATTGGGACCAACTAGCCAGATGGCTTGGGAGAACAGCTAGCATAAGATATGATGTTGGCCAAAAAGGGAGGAGTTTGCATAATGATTGGAGTTACATGTTGCATGTATATACCAAATAATACAGCCCCTGATGGAACTATCACTAAGGCCTTATAGGGATTAACTACCGTATCCAATGAGCTAGCTGACAATTCAGGTATAAATGATCCCTTCAGTAACTTAATGGAGAAATGGTTCGGGAGATGGAAGGGGTAGATGACCTCAATCAACCTCCTTGCTCATAGTGGCCAGAGTTTTAATTTTAGTAGGATGTTACATAATTCATTGTGTCCCAGGACTAACACAGCGGTTAACTGAGACAGCCCTCACCAAGCAATTATCCCCACCCTACCCAAATAATTTTTTCCTATTAGAAACAGAGAAACATGAGAATCAGTGGCTCCTAAGTGAGTTTGAAGAAAAGAATTTAAATTAAAAGAGGGGGGAAATTGTAAGAAAAATGATCTTTTCTATCAAAATATATGTTACCCCCTTAAATTACTTAAAATTTCTCAGGTAGCCATCTTAGGTAACTTGCATTGTTTAAAGGATTCCTGTTTCTTCTTCAAGATTCTTGTAAATCCCCATTTCCTGCAAAAATTGCCCTCCAAATTACATGCCCTAACCCAACCCCCAAACCTTTTAGCCAATCAAGAGAGATTGTGAACCTCTGACCTGGACAA